TTAAATATGGAGCGCGAACCGATCACGCGGCACACTTGATACTTTAAGATGCGAGATTGACTAATCGAATTCTGGTGAGGTTATCTCAATTGGATCTGCAAAATACGGTCGTTATCCGCGACTACAAATTTATTTGAAGATGCTGAGTCCTGGGAGGGTGATCAATCCTCTCAATCCATCGCTCGATAACTATTGTAACGATTTCATTGGGACGACAACGCGAAGCGACTGACTTCCGAAATCAGGTGGTTATAATGGAATTTCGACTAAACTCGCTGGTAATAAAATTGTCGATTTTATGAATTATAATAATGATGACGTAAACGTCTTAATGACTTGAATGGAAGAGACCGTGGAACCCGAAAACGGAAGTTAACCCACGCGAAATAACATTTGTTGTCATAAATTTTGTTGTCGTGCGGAATCACGAAAAACCACCCCCGGTGCTTGGGATAGTTGAGGACGGTAGCGGTAGCCGCTTAGAATCGTGTTGATTCAACATTTCACAGCTTTTGAGGATTTGGTAACAGAATTCCTGGGGGCAGGTGGTAGATTGGAAGAGGCCGACAAAGTGTCATATTTGCTGTCAACAATACCAGACAGCTATGATGGAATAATCACTGCCATGGAAACAATAACTGAGGATAATTTAACTCTCGAGTACGCGAAGATAAGACTGTTAGATTATGAAGTTAAATTGAAGGCAAAAAGAAATGACACGCGTGCTACAGTATTGCATGTTAAAAAGGAAAAGGACAAGCGGAAGACACATGACAAGAAATGGCAGAAACCAAGGGGTTTTCGATCGAGTTTCAACAAGTTTAAAACTCAAAGATTTGGGTTCAAGGGAAAATGTTTTTATTGCGGTAAGAGAGGACATCGACAGAGTGAGTGCAGGCATTACAAAAGGTCACAACTGACTGAAAATCTAAAAGACAGGCAGCGTGACAGAGATGGTGCAGAACGAGACAGACACCGACACCATTGGGCGGCTCAATACCTGGACTCCAGCGAGGGCACATCTGGTTTCTCATTTATGGTTGGAAACTATTCACATGGGAGAGAAGAAAATGGAAAGATAAAATTCATTTTGGATTCTGGTGCATCGGACCACATTATCAATCGAAATGATTTAATTGCTGAGTTTGTGGATCTCCCAACACCGATGAAGATCTCTATTGCGAAAAATGGAGCATACATTAGTGCAATAAAGAAGGGTACACTGAGAGTCATCAGCAACACGGGAATTCAGGGAGTACTGAAAAATGTTCTCTATTGTCCTGAGGTTCCTCACAATCAGATGTAGCAGGGCCTATTACACCTGCTACAGTAAATAACAAACATTATTTTGTTCTTTTTGTTGATGAATATACTCATTACTGTGTTACATATCTTCTTACTCACAAATCAGAAGTATTTTGTGTCTTTAAAGATTTTGTTGCAAAAGCAGAAAGCCATTTTAACATGAAATTAGTTAATTTGTACTGTGACAATGGAAGAGAATATTTATCCAATGAGATGAAAGAGTACTGTATTAAGAAAGGGATTACTTATCATTTAACAGTCCCGCGGACTCCCCAATTAAATGGCGTCGCTGAGCGTATGGTTAAAACAATAACTGAAAGAGCTAGATCGATGGTAGCCGGTGCAAAATTAGACAAGATTTTTTGGGGTGACGCAGTATTGACTGCGACGTACCTGATTAACATAACCCCAATAAAGGCTCTTAAAGTAGACAAAAGTCCATATGAACTCTGGCGAGACAAGAAACCTCAAGTTAAATATCTGAGAGTATTCGGTTCAACAGTTTATGTTCACGACAAAACTAGAAAAGGGAAATTCGATGAAAAGTCATGGAAAGCTATTTTAGTAGTGTATGAACCGAATGGTTACAGAGTATGGGATGTAGAATCTGAGAAATACGTTGTTGCGAGGGACGTCATTGTGGACGAGACGAATTTTCTTCAGTCAAGGCCACATGTGAAACCTGAGAATAAGGCTGAAGAAAACCGAAGTAGTGGTACTCGGAATGAAACTGATGTATTGGACTGCGTGTCGAAATCAGTAAAGTCTCGGTCATCTGATAATATGAAAACAGATGAAATTGAAGTAATTGAAAAATTGGACACTGATGGTGGGCCAAGTAAAATTGTTAAAATTCAAAACAATGAGCGTGAAGCAACAACAGGTGAAAATGAAGGTATAGAGAAATCTTCATCAAGTAATGATGAAACCAATGAAAATCTCAGGAGAAGTGAAAGAATCAAAGGGCTTCCTTCTGTATCGTATAGAGAAGAAAATATTACGAATGATATTTTGTGTGCTCAGGCGGTTATTGGGTAAATTCCTAAGACTTATGGGGAAATAAAAGATAGAGAAGACAGAGCTCAGTGGGAGCGAGCTATAAATGATGAATTAAACTCTCTTCAGGTAAATGAAACGTGGACGCTGGTACAAAGACCCGAGAACAAGAATATCGTAGACTGTAAATGGGTATTCACCATGAAAAATGATGAATTTGGAAACCCAGTAAAATGCAAAGCTCGTTTAGTTGCTAGAGGATACAGTCAAGAATATATGGTAGATTATGAAGAGATATTTGCTCCAGTCGCGAGAATTGCAAGTTTTAGGTTCTTATTAGCTTTCGCAAATGAGAATAATTTATTAATACATCATATGGATGTGAAAACTGCATTTTTAAATGGGAAACTGAAAGAAGAAATTTATATGAGAGTACCTGAAGGAATTACATGCGAAGATAATCAAGTGTGCAAACTTAATAAGGCTCTTTATGGATTAAAACAGGCAGCTAGATGTTGGTTCCAAGTTTTTGAAGAAACTCTCAAAGAAAAAGGGTTTCAAAGTTCATTAGTAGACAGATGCATTTATATTTTAGACAAGGGAGATGTCTCAACGAGTATTTACGTTGTTTTATATGTTGATGACTTGGTGATTGTTACAGCCAGTATTGATATTATGAATGACTTTAAAGAATATTTAATGAACAAATTTTTGATGGTGGATTTAAAAGAAATTAAACTCTTTTTGGGAATTCAAATCAGTAGAAATGAGAATAAAATAACATTGGATCAGAGTGGCTATATCAAATCAATACTCGAAAAATTTAGAATGAGTGACTGCAATCCAGTGAGCACACCACTAGAGAGTAAACTTGATTATACAGCATTGAATTCCGAAGAAAATTATACCGCACCATGCCGAAATTTAATCGGGTGCTTAATGTATGTCATGGTGAGCACCAGACCTGATTTGAGTGCTGCGATAAATATTTTAAGTAGATTCACCAACAAAAATAACAAGGAATTATGGAGATGTCTAAAAAGAGTGCTCAGATACTTGAAGGGGACAAAAGATCTCAAACTGACATACACTCAGGGGGGCAATGAAAATATACTATGTGGTTACGTAGATTCAGATTGGGCAAGTAATGAAATTGACAGAAAAATTACGACAGGATATTTATTTAGGATGTACGATAGATGTACAATTTGCTGGGCAACTAAGAAACAATTATCAGTAGCAGCTTCATCGATTGAAGCTGAATATATGGCGCTTTATGAAGCAGTCAAAGAGGCTTCATGGTTAAACTCATTGGCTGATAGCATTAAAATAAATATCAAAAGACCAATCGTGATTAATGAAGATAATATGGGTTGTATTAGCATTGGGAATAGTCCAACTAACCACAAAAAGACGAAACACATTGATATAAAGTATCACATCTCGAGAGAACAAATTGAAAAGGGTCTAATAACTTTAAATTATGTTCCAACAGGTAAACAGTTAGCAGATGCCCTTACGAAGCCACTCCCAACTACAAAATTTGTGGACCTGAGAACACAAATGGGCTTGGAATAATTATTGGCACATTTTTATTCATTGTGAAGGGATGTAAAAAGTGTAAATAATTAGTGTGTAATTAGTAGTGGCCTGATTAGGTTTTTCTGGGTTTTCCCTAATCCTGCGCAACAAATGTTGGGCCATAGTAAGACTCCCAGGAAATGCAAGGAAGACACATTAGTTGTAAGGTATATGTGGAATTACGAATATTATTATTTTATGATGTGAATGATATAATTATGATATGAGAGATGTACTGAATTAATTTTTGAGGGGGCGTGTTGGAGTTCACATTCCATGATTACAAAAATTAATTCTATATTTCACAGTATGTTTATATTATTATAAGAGAACATTTTTCTAATCCAAAATTCTGAGAAGAGCGTGGACGAATGTTTGGGCATTTGGTTTTTCAAGTCTAAACATCTGTAAATGAATAGAGACCTTTGTGGGTCTATGTCGCCAGGGTTTCAGACCTCTGGGATCTTTGTTTCTTTAGTTAGTCCATCTGAGGAGCTCAAAGCGTNGTGGGTCTATGTCGCCAGGGTTTCAGACCTCTGGGATCTTTGTTTCTTTAGTTAGTCCATCTAAGGAGCTCAAAGCGTGTGGATGTGTCTTCCTCGTATATAATTTCAAATAAAGAAAAGTTTCAACTCAACCGGATTGATTTTTATCCAAAATCATCCATTTCCAATAAATTGAACTCAGTTTAGGCTCGCCACAAAGGGAAAGAGTTGTTCTTTGTATTGAAAAAAAAATTATTAAATTTTATCAACATTTCACCCCCTCATTAACATTTAAAAAAAAGTCAAAAGTGTCCGTTTTACCCCAACCTTCCCTACTTCAATTGACAAAGTCAAATTTTTTTGAATTTTTCCATATAGCTAGTTAATTGTACTTAATGAAACATGACGCGCGACGGGGTTTCCCTCATAAGGTGATCAATCTAAGGTTAAATGGCGCAGGGTAAGTTTTTGTGCATTCCATTGTTTATAACTATGTTTAAAACGTCATAAAATGTTTACAAAGAATGGCAATCTCCGTTGAGGATTCAACGGAGCGCGGCCGAGCCCGCCCTTTGCCTCGAGTGCCTGCAGTTCGATTTTTACCCGAACGACACCGCTTGTTCGTCACGGGTCGGTTCAATGAAAATGCGGTTGAAGTTTAGTAGGGAAATCCAATTACTGTAGGTTATGTGGAACTAATATAATATTGTTGTAGAATTCACAAATTGTCACTTAAAAAATGACGCTATATCATTTTGGTAACTGTGTAGCGCTAGTTTATGTGCCTTATTATCTGACGTACAAATATTCTGGACTGTAAGTGTTGTATTCCCCTCCGTATTTCCAATCACAATTATCACAATTTTTTCGTACTTCAGATTGAATCAATTTAAATATCCAAATAATGTAGGATTGAAATTTCCAATTGAAACGAATTCGACTCGTACAACTAATATTTCAGAACATTCATGGAGTATTCCAATTGTGATTCCCAAAGGTTGGAACGTTGGGAATTGAATATTGGATATTTGTTTTCTTTGGGTGTGTCATGATATCCATTTTTTAACGTTTAGATCTGAATACGGAGCCTTTTGGAAATGTATACAAGCAGGAGGTATCTACATATTCACACAACTTGTGAAAATGTTAGCGTTAGCTACATTCTTCCCCACAGCTGACAATGTCGGACATGAAGGCTTCCACTTTTTTGGAGTGAGTATTATGAAAATTCAAGTATTTTTTTTCTTGTAAATTCAACTTCTATACTTTGTTAGTTATATTGTTCAATTTTTTTAATTATTCAAGTCCTCCTCAGATCCAATTTTATCTTTTGTTTCTCAATTATTGAAGAACATTTAGAAAAGGGTAAAAATTGCATCAGGAAATTGCTTTCTCCATAGAAATCCGCATGATGATAATGAAAGACAAGTGGACAATCGCATTTTTTTTATAAATGAGTAGTTATTGCCGTTCCATCGATTTTAAATCCTTTAATGAAGTTCAACATTACCTTAACCGTCCTATAATAGTAACCGTCCTATAGTTGATAATGATAATGATAATGATAATGATTGTTCTCTTACGTCTGCTCGTTATGAACATTTTTATTTTCGCATAATCTTTTTCTTCTACACAGAGCGTTTGTTGAAAGATGAAAATCGAAAAACGTTCCTCAATTATGAATAATTTTTTTTACATGCTCCAACTCCCACCAGAGAATCCATAAGCATCACGTGGCGTATTTCGAAACCTTCAAAGTATCCAAAAATTTTCACCAACAGTAGTGGCTGTGGGATCTGTGCAGAGCTCAGTCAATTCGATAAGTCATTACTTATCGAGTGCGGGAAGACCCGGATGGGTGAGCACTGAGCTCCACTGATAGAAAAGATTAGTTATTGTTAACGAATGGATTTAGTTGGAGGCAAGGGTCTATTCGATCTCACCAAATGTTCATTCATTGATAGTTAACAAATGCACATTTGAGGGGCTCTTGATTGACTCGATGTTCACCTTTCAAGTGAACCATTCGTTCACTATTAACGAATATTCATTTGGTCATATTCAACTCCACAATTCGTTAATAGTTAACGAATCTCGTTTGAAATAAATGAGTCAGTCTATCAGTGCACACACTGATTTTCACAGAAACTACTGAGTGGTAGGCACGCCTATTGAAACCTCAATCTGTGTTTATATGCCAAAAACAATAGGCACATTAAGGGTTCAATTGTAGGCCGGCTGCATTAACTCAGGTTTTCCGTAGTTTTCCTGAGCCCTTCTCAGCGCAAATGCAATGCAGATAGCGACAAAATCGGCTTCTGCGACGCCGTTCAGAGTTCTCAAATAATGTGAGCCCCCCGCTAATCTCGTAAAAGTAAACGGAGACCGCCAATATATAAGGGCAATTCGAGAGCGCAGGGGAAAAGGAGGGGGTTCAAAACCCTCACCTTTTGACGTAAAACATCACTTTCTGCTTCTGGATGAAAACTTTGTATTTGTCGGACTTTGACATTTTCTAATTTTTGCTTAGAAATGATGAAGAATGTTATGAAACTTAGCGAAATCATGTTTTTTACAGCATGTCCGTACGTATATGTGTGACAATTTCGGTATTGATTTATTTTTAGAAAATATGGCATAAATACGGTGAAATTCATCAATAAGTATCTGAAATTTTGGCATATGATAGCTATGGTTGAGCTTAATTTTGGCGCTCAGTTTCAGCCCGATCGGTTCAATAATTCCTGACATATAACTTGTTTAATTTCGTTTTTTCCTAATATCTTAGAAACTACTGCACCGACTTCAATTTTTCTTTCTTCAAAATATTTGTCTCGATGGCATCTATCCAGATCAATCAAAATATGTATACCAATTCATACAAAGTTTTCGAGATATTGCCTTTTTTTCAACACAAATCTTCGGTGCACGATAAGGTGAGAACCAAATGGAGATAGAAAATTAAAATGTGGTATGATCTTAGCTTTTATGATACTAAAGGTTGGCATTTTGGACGGGCACCATCGGCCAAGCGGTTCCTGAGATATGCACCCTTTTGTGTAAATATATTTTGTTAAACATGTCACAAACTACTAAACAGATTTAATTTTTTTCACAATACTCACCACTACGGCTTTTACCTAGATCAATTAAAATATCCATACCCTTCATACAAAATTTTTGAGATATTGCCGTTTTTTTCAATTTTCTCATTCTTGCGCGCACGATAACTTCAGAAACAAGCAGAAGTTTGAGCTTATCCGGGAGAAGAGATGTGACCGTCACTTTTTGCGTTATTAGTCCTTTTCTTTTTTTATTTTTACCAATTCCATTGGTAGTAAGCTTCCGAATGGACCCATATCGATTCCCTGTCCTTGTGACAGGTATACAATCATTTATTAAAGTTCTGAAACAATGAACTTGCATCCTATGTATTTTGTTTAACCACATGCGACTGGGTGTCTACTAGAAGATATTTAACCTTAGGTATAAAGCTATTTCATTAAAAGGTTAAATATCTCCAAGACTGCTAGGTCGTTTACGCCTATCCAAAATACCAACCCTCAGTATTGGAAGATAATCATATTAAATGTCAACTTGCTATCTTCATTTTTTCTCAAATTATCGCGCGTATACGAACGAAAAAAATTTTAAAAAAACGAAAAAACGGCAATATCTCGACAATTTTGTATGCATGGGTATAGATGTTTTGATTGATCTAGACAGAAGATGTCGAGACGAGTATTTTGAAAAAAGAAAAAATTAAATCCGTTGAGAAGTTTCTTGGATATTTAACAGAATATATTTACACCAAAGGTAATATATCTTAGGAACCGCTGGGCCAATGTGCCCATCCAAATTTAAACTTGCTATCTCCATTTTTTCTCAATTTATCGCGTTATACGTTTCTTCATGAAAAAATGGAAAAACGGCAATATCTCCAAATTTTGTATTAAAGGGTATATATATATATATATATATATATATATATATATATTGATTGATCTAGATAGAAACCATCGAGACGAGTATTTTGAAAAAGCAAAATTGAAATCAGGTTAGTAGTTTTTGAGATATTGAGGAAAAACAAAATTTAAAGAAGTTGTAATATCTGGATAAATCGGGCTGACTACCAATCGGGCTGAAAGGGCATGCCAAATTTGAGCTCAATCTGTAAGGAATTCTGGCAATTCCTTAGGCGATCCATAGACCATCGAGAACGTCGGATTAAGCGTGAGTCAGACAAAGACACAGAGCGTTTATTGTATATAATTTTTGACAAAGAGAATTTCGTACTAGCTATCTTTCGGTGATCGTTTCACGTTTCGAATATCAATATATTTTGACAGTTAGGTATGATTTTTTTCGCGTAATATTTTTGTGATAGGTGTTAGGAGTTTGAAGAAGTTAGCTATCGGGGATCTAGAGATTTTCGTTGTTTGGGCCAAAATATTATCGAGCTACGCGATTATTGACAGGAATGCTCCCTTACGGTTTAATCTTCGGGGACGTGTGGAGGCCCAGATGAAATGCTGGCGCTCAGTATATGGATTTATCGGGATGAGATAGTTTCAGTTTTGGGTTTCGGTGGAAGGTCACACGGCCAATCGCGACCGTGCAACCGTGTGAATTGCCAAGATCGCTATACATTTTAGTGAATCAAGTTTTGTTTTATGGTGCATTATATGTTCTATTGAGTTATAGTTTCGATGTATCTTGCGTCTCTGCCCCGGTAATCTTTGAGAATGCAGCCCCGAAGAGGTAATGATAGTTAGTGGATCTTATCTGGGCTAATTAGCGCCCTTTTACTCCGTTTTATTTTCTTTTATTGTTTTGGTCTGTTGTCGGTTCAGGTTGAATCGAATTACGCGTTTATGGCTATTAGGTGGACGTGTGCCTTTAGCAGCTTCTTTCTACCTAGCGCTGGACATTTGCCTACGTCACAGCGGCTGATCCCACTATGTGGATATAACGCTCTCGTTCTATCTTTCGGCGTTAGATACTCGCTCTCTTTTCACTTTTGGGGTATAAATTGAGCGATTTTTGCGTATTCGAGAGTTAGTTGGGAAGAGTAGTCGAGAAGAGTAGTCGAGTATTCGAGGAGTCAGTGACCAGCCCTCATCGAGTCCATGGCCTTCGGGCAGAGTGCCTTTGGGCGATGCCCCTCTGGGGAGAATTTTGCATCTAACCAGAAGTTTAGATGAGATTTTGGGTTTCGACTCGCGTTGCCGCATGGGTTTCGTAACCATCCGGAGTTGTGCCGCAGAACTCTTTTGAGGATTATTGTGGAGTTCGATCACTTTTTTTTTGTGCATAATTATGAGAATTTCGCGTTCGGATTACATGAGGATACGGGTGGTGTATTCGGCTGTTCAATTCCGTACGACCTCGGGTCCATTCCATTTTTTTTTCTTATTCGGGTTTTGCGCTGAACGGTGAGAATGTTGCTAGTTAACGCGAGTTGATTAGAGTCGTGATTTTCTCTTTGCGTTGCACATGGACGCGTGTTAGATTTCATGGGATTCGTTTCACATTTAATTCTATTCCGTGGCGTTGGCGACAATTCAAGTCGTAGGAGTGAAGTTCGTGTTAGACATTTGTCCTCTGGCTCTTTGTCTGCTCAATAATTATTGAGTATTGAAGAATATGTTTTTTTTGTGGGATTATTCTGCTCTTACTCTCAGTTTTTTTTGAGATTAGTTGTTTTGAGTTAATTTAGTGTTTCCTTTTCTTTGCTAAATTATTTGGATATATTTTTTGAGACAATTGTGTATCTTTTTCCTATTTTTTTCATGAATATAACATCGGTATATTACACAACATTAACACCGGTGTTTCGAGTTACGTTATTTGTTATTTTTTTTAGCAATACCTATTGGCCCATTCTCCATCCGAACCTACCCCTCTCTCCACAACCAACCCCCTGAGCAGCGCGGACAAGCTATCACCTTCCCCTGGACTCCTTAGTTTTAAGTTTTTGTTAGATTAATGGTTATTTTCTGGTTCCTTCGTTTTGTTTTTCGTTTATTCGATTTGTCGTCTCCGAGGTCAAAGGACGGCTGGCGCCCATCGATAAGTTTTTTTTTTGAGTTTTCTCAGTCTAGGGGAAATGGGGGAGTTGACGTGGTTTTCCAATCCCAGATGGAAAATTCCGTTACAAATCATAGCTATAATGGGCCAAAATTTCATATTTTCAACGGCAAATTTCACCGTATTTATGTTAAATTTTCTAAAAATTAATCACAAAAAAACAAGTGGTCACATATATACGTATAGATATAACTCTGAAAACGTAGTTTATTCACGCTTCATAACATTCTATACCATTTGCATTAAAAATGAGAAAATCGGTCAAAAACAAGGCTTCCATTCTGAAGCCAAAATAAAGATAGCACAAGTTGGAATTTGGTATGATTGTAGCTCTTACAATATCAAAGGTTGGTATTTTTGATGGGCACAATCGGCCGAGCAGTCTCGGAGCTGTTTCACCTTTTGTATTTTTTTTAAGGCCTTTGAGTCCTGGATAGAGAGGATCATGGATTTTGTGAGGTAATATACAGGGGGGTGGGGGAGGTTCATGTTTGTGATGGCTTCTGACGGGAGTTCTAAAATTTTCAAAAAACGTAGTATTTGAATCGCTCTTCATAACGATATTTATAATTTGATAATACAATTCACTCTTGATTCTATCCAATGTCTCATTCCCAACGAATATCGCCAACAGTAATTTTCCGACAATAAAGAAAATACTGAAAATGAAACTTTTATTTCCAGGAATTTTTGAAATACTCGATAGATCTGGCAGATCTCGTAGGAATTCTTATAGTCCTCAACGGAATTCCTGGCAAGGGTCACGCGAAGGTTTTAACTGCAGGAATTGGCTGGGCAGGAGCGGAAGTGCTTCTCACGAGGTTTCTCCTACTCTGGGTGGGTGCACGAGGTGCTGAATTCGACTGGAAGTACATCCAGAAGAGTCTGGAATCAAATATCTCCCTAGTTCAACACATAACGACTGCAACTCTGGTCTGGTTGTGGTCGCGACATGATTTGAAGAGAGGATTGGTTCCTCTGGTGGTTGCAATGCTCTTGCTAACTGTGTACAGGCCACTAATTTTAGACTTGTTGGTATCGTTGTTACTCGCTGGACCCTGGTCGTCACTGCTCATCAAAGCTACAACCACACTCTTCATGGGGGCCATTACATTACATGTGTACGCAGGATTAGCTCATTCGATTGGAATTTTCTAATTTTCTTCTCAAATCATTGCGATATCAATACGTATGCCATAAATGAATGAATTAATAAAATAAGCTTAGGATCAATTGAAGAGTTTTGTGGATAAATTCTTTCATCACCAATAAGTTTATTGAAAATCTATCATAAGGGATGTTCATTCAAAATTGCAAGCACTCAAACAAATTTTGACTTTTTTTCAACTGACACGCAGAATTCTTTTTCGTGTTAATAAAAATTTTAATCCAACAACTCGATTATTCAGAAATGAAATAGACAAAACTAACCGAATGTTGGCATTAGCATGAGTTTACATGAGGTTTGAAGTGTTAAATATCTGCATTACTTGCCTGGGTAGCCGATGTTTTTCCTTGGCTATTGGATTTAATACATTCTTTCCAGTGGATGAATTTTCGATTTGAAAATAAATTCTATAGGAGCCAATAAATGTTTTTATGTCATTTCATCCAAGCTATTGCCGCTAACTTTTCTCAATCACTTTTTGGTTTCATATGTACCTTTATCAGTCCGAAAAATTCGAGAATTTCCTTCGAACATGAAAAAACTCAATGTTGGAAAAATGGATAAACATCACTAATTTGGCACTAGTGGTTGTAGGAGATATCAAATAATAATTTTTTTTTTATTTAAAAAATTATTATTTTATTATTATTATTATTATTATTATTATTATTTTCCTTCAGAATTACTCGTTTATAAAATAATTCGATTTTCAAGCGTTAACCCTCTGATTCGCAATCCTATCCCCACTATCTATGGGGCCCGGACGTTCAACGTGGAAGGGGACAAGTAGCGTGCGCGCGAATAGTACCGTATCACAAAGCGCACGTTTGAATACATGAGTCCCAAGTATAAAAATTTGTAAAGGGAATTTATTGGTAGGTAGGATGGCACAAATTTAAGGAAGAAAAGAAGCAATTTGAAATAAGATATCTCATTGCTGTCAATCTCAAAATCATGAACAGGGCCTCGATTTTCAACAAATGGTTGCACTGGATAGTGCTCAATATTTGAAGAGCATTTTCGTTCTAGTTATTCATCAATTTTTTTCTTTTTCTTTGTTGAAAAAGCATCTGGATTCATTTCACAATTTGAAGGTATCTTTTTTTGTTTCACGTATTTACCAGGACTTCCACATACACTTTTCAATAAACTTTCATTATTTTTGCTTCCGAATGGAAGCATTGCAATCGTTTGATTTTCACATTTTCTAATTTTGCTTGCGAATGATGCAGAATAGTCTGAAACGTAAAAATACGAAGTTTGGGGACCATGTCTGTGCGTGACACTGTCCAGTTGGTGGTCATTTTTTCGTAAATTTGATAAGTAAACGGGAAAAATCATTCCAAAAAGTTTGAAATTTTTTCAGTTAATTGGTATAACTTGAGACTAACTCCATGCCAAACTTTAGCTTGATCCGTCCATTAGTTTTTGAGCAATAGCCATTCGTTTTTTAACCTTTTCTCGCAAATATCTCGGAAAATACCCAACCGATTTCAATATTTTTTTTTTCAAAATATTCAGCATGATGTCCTCTCTCTAAATCAATCAAAACATATATACCCGTCCATACAAAGTTTTTGAGATATTTGGATTTTTCTCTTTTTGACTTAAAATCCTTGTTCGCGCTCTAACTTGACTAAAAATCGAGATATTCGAGATATAAAAGCATCCATTCGGAAGCCTGCAATCAATATATTGATGGCGAGAAAACAATAGACGCCCTACGCAGTAAAATATGTACAGCCGCATGGCTGCAGTCACTTAGTTGTTCCTCTTTCCAGGGGCTGATTGGTTTTTACTGACATTTTTGCTTCCGAATGGAAGCCTTGTAATCGATGATTTTTACGATCTCGTAATTTTGCTTGGAAATGATGTAGAATGTCATGAAACGTGAAAATATGATGTTTTTAGAACATGTATGTATGTATGTCAGAATGTGTATGCCGATTTTTCGGAAATTTTTTATAAATCCCCCCGAAAAAAGGACTAAAGTTTGAGCTAAAAATCTTGAAATTTTGTCAGATAATTGGTATTACTTTGGAGCATTCGTGGGCGCAAGTTCAGCTTAATCGGCCCAGTAGGTTCCGAGATATAGCAATTTATCAAAAATCTTTTTTTCCTTAATATCTCATAAACTGCATGACTGAATTGAAGTTTTGACGGGAAAGTATTCCTTACAATAATATCTATCGAATCAAATCGAAATATTGCTACGTAACTAGGGTCAGTTTGGTAATAATCGGCATTTTTCATTTTCACTAGGAAATCGTTGTGGAAACGATAACTCGCTGAAAATTCAAGATAGGAAGTTGACATTTGGTAGGATTGTAGCTCTTATGATACTACAGAACTGTATTGTTCACGAGCTGAATCGGATAAGTAGTTTAGAAGATATTCAACTTTTTGTGAAAAACTGTTATGCTTAATATCTCCTACTACTGGGCCGATTCACTTTTTTTTTCAAAATGTTTGTCACGCTATCTTTTATCAAGATCAATCAAAATATGTATACCCGCCCATACAAAGTTTTCGAAATATCAGCGTTTTTCTCATTTTTTCATTTTAAAGTTAATGTGGTGTCCATAATACGCGTCAAGCTTGGTCTAGACATCTCAGATTCTGGGTACTAATTTGTATTATGAGCCCACAGTTATGTATAAAATTTTGTGTCAATCGATTCAGTACATTCGGGCATAGAGCAATTTATCCAAAAATCTTTTTTTCTAAAAAATTACACATCGTCATTTTATCAATGATTTTCGTCTCTATATGACTTAAAAAGTCATAACAACAATTTATGGTATTTTGTATTTGATGAAATGTCATAGCTATGACAGAGGTAAAGGTTAAAATTTAATAAAATCGTAGCTCTTATAACATTACAGGATGAAATTGTATAGCTCTGACAGAATCAGAGGTCGGTGTTATTTATTCCCCTTACCAATATGAATAGCTTTTTGAGTAGTTATTAATCTGCGAAATTGTACGGATCCATTTGGAAGCTTATTACCAATGGAATTGGTAGAAAAAAAAAGTAAATGTCACATGGCTTCTGCCAGAAAGGTTTACAACCCTGCTGGTTTCTTTTTTTTATCTCTCATTATTTGTTGTCTATCTATCAAAACTTCTATTACGTATTACGTGAGAATATGCAGAGGGCCCCGATAGCTTTGTAATATTTATAACGGTCCTGCGAAAGGAGTGAGGGAATAATTACATGATCATTTCCTCACTACACATCGCGCGGCGCGCTGTGATTGGCGGACATCACACCGATACGGATTGGTACGGTTTGCGAGTCAGGGGGTTAAATTTTTATATCAAAATTAGTCAATGATCAGGTTTTAGATGAAGATGAATTTAAAAATTTACTGAAAACAACCCTTTATTTACCAATAAATCTAAAATTACAACAAACAGTTTCTGACGAAAAAAATATTAGATGAGATATTTAATCATTAAAGACATGATACCTTTTTATCGCAAATGGATAGAGATGACGAAACTCTTCAACGCAACATCCTCCGTACATCAGTATTCATCAGCACGATGGAACCTGTATGCCAGTATTATGTCGATGAAAATCAATGTGCCCATTGCACCGCGATTTGGTAAAGTCTAGAATTACAGATGCGAGAGGATTACGCGGTGGAGTAATAAAGAGAATATGTTTTCCTCTTCATTCTTTACATTTGGATAAATACTAGACTCCTACATACTAATACTGTACATTCTTCAAGCCAGTGGCTCTTTTTACACTCTGACATGTAGAACTACTATTTCGAATGCAGTAGAAAATATTTTAGAGATATGAATCAATGACTAAGTCTTAGTGAAGTGGTAAGAAGAGACAAACGAAGAATTCCTCACGAAAATTTACATGACTATAGATATCGTGGGAAAGAAGAATTTTTAGAAAATTCATTAGAATTCTTCATATTTTGGAATTTCCCAGAGAATAGCCTATTGATAAGTTCTCCTCAGTTTCTTTCTTCCGAAGAGATTTGCCAAATAATTGACCTGAATTTGTTTTGTCTAAGAACATACTACAAAAATTCCACGGTGATTACTCGAAAAGAATTTTATTGAAAAAATAAAGCAAGATAAAAATAGTAGAAATTCTTTTTTGCAGCTTATAAGATCCCCCTGGAAAAATCTTTTCTAATAAATTTGGCATACTTTAAGACCGATAGAGCATTTTCAAGAATTATTTGAGTATCTGAAATTGAAAAAAAAAGGATACACTTAATCCACAGCTGAGTTTTATGGATTTTGTTGTTCTCGAATTGCACATACTTGAATTATAAATGTAAAATTGCGCGCAATTAATTAAATAATGTATAATTGAAACGGTACATTACAATTGCGTAGAATTTTAATTAATTAGAAGGTGAAAATTGAAATTTCTGAGAATATAGTCTTAATGCAAAACATCGCAGGTGTGAAAAAATGAAGAGACTTAATGTAATCAGTTATTATACAAAATTAATTCTTTTAAAAAAATGCTGTGTCCATGTTAGAATATACCATAAATTTTCGTAAATCCTTTGATTCTAACGATATTTACAAAGCTTATATGCGAGTAGATTCTGCCCTTATCTGCTTTTACCACTTCATGACAGAAATGATCTTTTGAGAATTTTTTTTTGCTCTCTTTGATAAGTTTCGATAGTACCTCCCCTTAGAGACTATCGAAACTGTATAAATTAATTTCCTCTAATATTGAAGACGGGCGAGAGGCTGTGGGAGGCATGAGTATGATTTAGGACGGAGCACACTGCGGTCCTTCATTGGCTCCTTCGGAGGGACTGTCGCTATGGACTGAGCCAGTCTCGCTCGATGAATCTGAGTTATCGTCGTAGGGTCTCATCATGAATCTTGATCTTGTTGATAAGAGGCCCTGAAAAACAGCCTAATAATTAGAGGAATCCAATATTTCTCTTCCCTTCAAATTATAATGTTTGACAATAGAATGATATTTGAGTTCTGCTTCAAGAGTAGGAATTATGAATAATAATGTTCAATTATCTTGGCAGTAAATCTCATTCAGTTATGAATTTCTCACAGAAAAATATTCGTAATGTTTTGCTCTGAAATCACAAGTCATTGAGAGAATTGGAAACATTTGATTAACTATATGTAGGAGGTAATCAATTCTATAAAGGTACAGACAAATGGATGCAAATTTTCTTGCCAAAATTGGGAAACCAAGAACTTGAATACTCTATCTATCGGAAGGGATAGGAACTCGTATAAGAAGGTTGCGGGCCCCGCGGGCCCTATCTCTCCCAAGGAGCTACTGTCGAGTGGCGAAAGAGTTCCCAATAGATATGAGACTTTTTTTTAAAATTGGACCCTTACATCATAATTAAAATATTGGGAAAATAAGTTACCGTGACTCGAATCATTTCACAATTGCAGCAATTCTAAATCATCAATATGTATTATATCAACTATCCACATAATTTTTCCCTCTAGAGTAGAAACAGTTACAAACCATTCTATCAACAAACTCGACTGGGCTATCGCACGCGCTTATGTTTCATCTCTGAGACCCATGAAATTTCATCAACCTGATTGCAAATACATTGCCAAAAGAATGATAACTAGGAGAAAACTCAATCAATGAAGAAGATCAATGATGAGTGAACAATTAATGAGTTATTTTGAATTTTCGATCAATTCTTTAAAATTTTTCGAAGTAACCCGTTGTTAATCCTATTTATGAAGATAGGAAAATGAAAACAAATGGAAATTGATTACTTTGATACTGAAATGCCCGATCATTTTGAAGCGGGGTATTATAGAATTTCCTAGAATTTTCTCGAAAATATGAGCATTTGTTTAAATTCCCTAGAAAACCTGAGAATTTTCTTGAATTTTCTTTGAATGTTGTAAGTGTTCGATTTTCGAATGGGCTCAAATTCACCAATGCTCGACTGGGTGATGTTTCGACACTTATACTTATTCAAGATACAGATAGATCTGATACTTATTCAAGTAACAGATAGATCGATTGACCGAATTGATGGATGAATAAAAAAATATATATTTTTATATTTTTAAAATAAAAAAAATATATTTTTCCAAATGAAAATATTCCAGAATATGTGAATGTTCAACTATTCATTCACACGAATTTAAATATTCCAGATACGATACAATTACGGATGAACGACTGGTCCGATGGTTGAGAAAATTAGAATAGTACATTACGTAACTAGTGCGGAAAGCAGGCGGTTACTCACGAAAGCGGCGCAGCCGCCCGAGTGATACCGCCTGCTGTCCGCACGTGTTGCGTATACTACTTTATATGATAAGTGCGTGATGAAGTTTGGGGGTGGAGGGGGGGCGAGTGGGGGATGTGGGGGGCGAAGCCCCCCACGAGAAAAGTGGGTCCAGGGGGCAAAGCCCCGGTGCGGGGG